GCGAATTATATTTTTCCACTTTATGCTATACAATCATAACAGATAACTCTAATTATATTAGGATAACAAAGCAAATGTAATCACCCAAGAAACAAAAACTTTCTATGTAAGGTTTTAATTGAAGATATGACCCAAAAGACATATAAACATTCTGGTTTCAGGGTTTTTTGAATTTCCAGCGCAATTTCAATAACATCCTTCACAATCATATCAGTTCATCTTTGAGGAAAAAATAAACCAAAAGGAGTACAATAAGGTTCTCCGATTCATATGAACATCAAGGGATGATGTTTAATACATGGTGGATGGCAAACACATGTTATCTAACAATCAAAACTACAAGATTAGGTGCCTCACATGAATGTATGTCTATGTATAAGAACAGCGGTACAAAAGACAAGTTTCAATATAATAGGCTCACGTATATGCAAGAATGAGAAAGTCAAGGTTCATGAATCTTGAACTCCTGATACACTTGAGAAGGCTATATAACAAGCACATAAGTTGCATCACCATTAAACTATCCCATGACCAATGTACATGTAACTATGAGAATGTCAAGATTCATGAATCTTGAACTTATGTTATATTTGGAAAGGTTAAAACAAACTTACACATTGCATCACCATTAAACTATTCCATGACATCCCTGTAACCAATTATGACTAATGAAATTTTTATGACATAAAGAACAATACGGACAGAGTTATAATGCATCACACAGCTATCTCACTGCAAATTCCAACAAATCAAACAATTCATAATTGAACCATCTTTCTTACATTTTTATGCAACTATACAAATCATAGTGGCTTAGATCAGGTGCTTAGCATTAATGTCTGTCTACATAAAAGGAGTATGGTGCGGTACAAAGGAAGACAAGTTTCACATTGATAGTACACACAAAAATTGGAATTTCAATGTTCATGAATCTTGCACTCGTGCCAGTTCATTATGAAAAAGCTTAAGCAAGCACAACAAGTTGCATCAACATTAAATTCTCCCACGACATTCCCATGACCAAGCATGGCAAGTAAAAACCCCAAAACATCTAGGATAACAAGGATAAAATATGGAACAATATAAGCGTTGGTGTTGCTAAGTTGGCACATAACCAAATGATCCGGATATGTTAATGACCTTCGTTACTATAAGTTCGAATATGTCTCATGTCACCAACACACAACAGTCTCATCTATTCTACCTACCTCACCACAATTTTCAACAAAATCACAAAGAGCTGAGAAATCTCACCCTAATAATATTCGGATGTCGTAACCGAAGCAACAAGGCAACCTCCGAATTGAACTGCTGCTCTAGCAAAGCAGCCAGAGTCGCGTCCTCCTCCGGCTGGCTGATCAACTTAACCGCCACCTCCCTCTCCCTATAAACCCCATGATAAATCCTGCTATGCCTCCCCGCCGCAAACTTATTCCCTATCAATAACTGTGACATATCGGCGCTCCATTCCTCTTCGCCTCCTTCTCTGATCTCTCCACCCGAAGACACTAAGTACTTTGACCACGATACCGCCTTTTTGTAGTCTCCGAGAGAGAGGCTCCGTTGAGCCCTAACTGTCTTGCCTCCACGACTGAATTTATTCTTAATCCAAGCCAAGCTCTTCATTTTCACGAACAAAAAATAATAAAGTTTTAACCTTTAGCACTCCTTTGAGCTCAAGACCAATGCTTGAAGTAAAATTTTCAACAAAAATCGAATTTCAAAGCAAATCTGTAAGTTTCTTCACACCTCAATCTCTGCTCAGTGCCAGATAGCTCTTCATCATTCTTTAGGGAGGGGATGGGGGGCGGGGGGGGGAGCCCATCAAGATTCAATTTTTTTAAACTTAAAAAATTTCAAATCAAAATCAAAATTTGAACGCCAAACCGAGCAAAGCGCTCGAAATCAGAGATACCCACTTCCCCATTTTGCCTACATTTCGACGCATCAGTATGTAACTGCAAAATATCTCGAAAATAGCTGGTAAATCCTCAGATCGAAACGTAAAAGCCATCAGGAACCAAAATTCATTGAAAATTTTGGAAAAAATCTCATGTTTACAGCGAAATCTGAGAGTTGGGTCAGGGTTTTAGAGAGAGAGAGAGAGAGAGAGAGAGAGAGGAGGTGGCGGTTAATGGAAGAACATGGGAGGATGAGAGCTCGGGGGACAAGGATAGTGGAGCAGTGCGAATAAACGACCTTGGAGTTGGAGTTTATTACTAATATGCCATTGAGCTTATTAAGAGTTTGCTTATTTAATCCTGCGCAAAAATACCCAACTGCTGTTAGTTAGGGAATCATGTATTCTTTTGTTCGTTAAAACTGTAATTCAATGCAAACCTCAGTTATATATTACTGTAGGTACTGATTATTGCCACTTAAAGTTGTAACTGTAGTTATTTAATGCGTCCCCAGAAAATTTCACTTTGCAATTGTTATATAATTTTAAAGCTTCTTTGGACTGATGTCAGATGTTTGTTAGAAATAGGGTTTGCATCTCAAATCGTTTCTTACGTTCAGAAGGCAGCAATCGTAATTTGAGCTCGAGTGCATCAGAACTATCTGCACGTGAGCATGTAGTTCTATGTCATTTGGGAGCAATGAGGTTAATTTGCAAACTTTCACCGCCCCTTAAATGGCAAAGAACTGTGTGCTTGTATGCAGTAGATAGTTCTGAGATGATTTGTTCTTATGCAATTTACATTCATATGTGTATATAACTCTCATTTTGTAATTGGCGAACAGTTGGTAACACAACATCCTGATTTAATGGCATTGAATTATTGGGGAGAAAAACAGATAAAATAAATAAAAAATTATACAAGTGCTCCTATCTAAAAAAGAATGGGTACTAGGATGTAACCCTTTTTCTTATCCATTAATTAAAGTTTATCTTTAAATTGATTTTATTATTTTAATAAATATAATAAATATAATTTATTTGGTATGTAGAACTTGTTGACCATTCTTTAAGACTGATTGACCATTCTTTAAAGACCACGACAACAATAGAAGTCTGCAACAAAGCATACAATATTACATCTTTTTTCATTATCAAATATATAACTAGAAAATTTATCACGTACAATTATAATGAAAATAATGCAAATGCATATCCAATCTTAATTGATATTTACTTTAAACATAAGATTTATTTTTTATTTCGATATTTATAGGCTATGCGGAATGTTGAACATTCCTTAAGTTTAAGATGTCATCATTGAAACTGTACGAACTGCAAATTAATGGTTGGTTTTGGAGTATCAAATATTATAAGAAGAATTGTCATGTATAATTGAAATGAAAAAGATAATGCAGATGCTTTGGATACTCAAGGATAAAAACAACTATATTGATTAGTCATCGAGACTACCAATCTTGATCTAATTGAAACTAAATTGTAAAATCATTTGCTCAGTGAAACTGAGTTAACTAAGGGAGGGTGATCTTTTCCATCTATGTTGTGCAAATTTGTATTGACTATATTAACTAGGTGATTTTCTCCAATCTTATCAATCTTCTTTAACTTGTGTGATTGCTTAAATTTTATTAATAAAAGTAAATGTATGCATCAAGTATTGACAATTTTAACATGCCTAATCGTTGCAAAAATTACTGTTGATTTTGGAGGAATATTTTATTTAATTTAGCGTTTCCATAGATTTGCAGTTATACTCCTCGGTTTAAGTTACTCAAAATCCAAAGCGCAATTCATCATGTTTGATTAGCTATTAATCCAACTTGAGTTGGCAATTTAGACATATTAACTAATGCAATTTGAGATTAACTATTTTGCGATAACTAATGCAATTCGGGGAATTAATTTAAAAATATCAATGATTTATGGGACCATTACCGATAAAACCCAACACAATGCCAATAATGCAAATAAAAACTTCTAGTGTGTTTGGATGGTGGTTAGAGAAGGGTAAGGGAAGTTAAAATTTATAAAATCTTTGTTTGGGACATTTATTAGTTAACAAAATATTTTAATAACATATAAGAATATTTATGTAGCTTTATATATATTCACTTCACTTCCTTCCTTTTAGTAAAACTTCCAAAAGAGATAAATTAAATTTACTTTCATTCTCTTTATTAAACTCTGAAATAATATATATATTTTTTTATTTTCTTCACTTTCTTTTTTTTTCATTATTTCACTTTTCTTTCTTTTCGGCCGTGAACTTTCATACAGAGCATTAATAATTTTTGACGATAGCATAGGTGTTGAGTGAATGGCGGTCTCGTTATTAACCAAGAATGGGAGGGGTAACTACGTAGGGGCCCTCGAAAAGGGTGACAGGACGTTAGCGAGGATTTTTCATGGAGGAGAAGAAGTGGGGCCCATATAAAGGCATGGGCCATGGTCTGTTTCGGGGACAAATGTTCAAAACCGATCCATTTGAGTTTTTAATTGCAAAAAACGATCTGTTTTAAAAATATTTACAAAAACCGATTAGTTTTTAGCCAGGGGTTAAAAACAGGTCGGTTTTTTAAAAAAATTCGGGAAACTTCACCCGTGAAGTTTTTTCTCATAACAAAACTTCACGGGAGTTGAACTCCCGTGAAGTTTGGGAAAAATTTTTTTAAAATCGATCCAGTTTCAACCAACTGGATCGATTTTTATAATTAAAATTAAAATAGGTCGTTTTTTGTAATTAAAAACTCAAATGGGTCGGTTTTGAAAATTTGTCCTCTGTTTCGGAGACAACGTTTGGAGGGACAACCGTATATGGGCTTCCGTATACGGCCCTCTTAAACTACTGCTTCTTGTAGAAGCCGTTAATAAGGGAGACGTACAATTTGATATTACCACACCTTGTATTTTATAATCAATACTCTCGTATTTTCTTTTATGGGGTTTTTTTCCACCTCAAGAAACCAACTTAAAAATGGTTGAAATCACTTTTAAATGCTGATTAATACAGAGATCACCCTTAAACTGGGTTTTTGATGCATTTAACCATCTCTATGTCAAAATTTCCACTATAAAACTAAAAAAAATCTTTAGAAAACTTGCGTTCAAGACATGTTGCTTGTGTCCTAATTAGACATCGATAATAACTCGATGAGTTAGATATAGACAGTAACTAGATAAGACATATCTTTAATGTGAGTTCTAAGAGAATTATTGGATTTTTACTGAGAATTTTGATCGGGAAGTGATTGATTGCGACACAATTCCCTTTAAACATGATTTACATATTAATTGACATTGAAATATGATTTCCATATAGCGGCCCTCTTTTAAATTTGGTTTATTGGAAAAATGATTCTCTTATTTATAAGAGTTTTATTTATAAATAGAGATTAATGGGTATTCTTGTCAAGGAGGGGATTTCCCTCATTGACGCCTATGTGGCATAATCTCTACCATCATCATAAAGCAAGAGAGAGAACGTGAGTTGGTGGGGATTGTGCCACATACATAGGTGTCAATGAGTAAAATTCTCTCCTTGACACAGGACACTCGTTAATCTCTTTATAATATATATGGGTTCAGTGGTGATGTCACTTTCTATGTAAAAAGAGGCTATGACCTGCCCTGCTTTTTCGCGAGTCAGGTAATACTTTGACGGTAGTAGTCAAAATTAAAAACCGTACCCAAAAGACCAAAAACCAACTTCAGCTTAATTGGTGGCAACCTTCATTTCTTTACGCATGGTCCCGACTTTGATCCTTGACATTCTTATGTTTTGCACATTTTCCTACACAAAAATGTTCATATTAGCCTAGCTTGTTGATCAACTAAAAAGTATGAGGTATTTTAGATTTTACTCCCTTAAATCTTTCAAATTTTAGAATTAGGCACTGAAATTGGTATTAACTCTCCGAACTTTAAGTTGTTTTGAAATTAGTCGCTCAAATCATTACTACAATTAGGGGTGTCCAAAAAGCCCGGAGCCCGGGCCCGGCCCGGTGTCCGGCCCGGGCCCGGAAACCCGGGCAAAACCCGGGTCCGGGCCCGGGTCGCCGTTGGGGAGCCATGTCCGGGCCCGGCCCGGGCCCGGAACAGTGCTATTTTTTAATTTTTTTTTTGTTTTTTTTATTTTTTTATTTTCTTATATATAAAATATATGTATATGTGTATATTATATATATATATATATATATATATATATATATATATATATATATACTCTCTCTTAGTATATAATTATATATAAGTATACTCTCTCTTATATAAGTATATATAT